CAGGAGACAGGAAAAGAAGGTAAGTAGAGAAAGACAAGAAACCGAGAAATGAAGAAAAACAAGAAGGAAAAAAGCAAACAAACAAAGCAAAACAAACAGAAAAAAAGGCCCCAGGGATCCCACCAGCCTGGCGGAAGCAGTTCCCCAGCTGAGCGGCACTTCACAGCCTGTCAAGAAGAAGCAAAAATGGCACATGGGGCCAAGTGTTCGAGAGAAAGGACGGGAGGAGGTAAGAGGCAGGGAAGAAACCAAAATCAGCCAAAAAAACCACCATCAACAGCAAAGAGATGGCACTGAAGGAGCCGGCCAGTATGGGTGGGGCGAATCCAAGCAGCATGGAGCCAGTGCCTACCAGCCAAGCAACCGTGGTCTGCTGGGAAGTGGTGGAGGCCGATTAGGGGGAAGAAGCGTGTATAGCTGGTTACCAGGTGCTCTGTCTCCTGCTGGCAGCTTCTTGAAGCTGCTTTCCTGTACTCCCTGTCTTCCGATCTCCAACAGAAGTCCAAGATGGTGAATCTGTGCTGCATCAGCTGATAGTGGACCTCCGCTCATTATCTCTCCTTGCTCTCTGTTCTCTGTCAGTTTCTTATTCCAGTCGGTGCTTGGTTGAGTTCTTTATCTCTTCATTTGACGCTTAGGGTTCCAGGATTGATGTTTGTCTCTGTTTTACTTAGTTTTTTGAGTCTTTGCTGTGGAGGGTGGGCGTGGTGTTCTGTCTATACTGCCATGTTGGCTCCACTCTATCTTATAAACATTCTTGTGCTTGCTTTTTCGTCAGACATGACATTCATGTGTGTTGATAAATACCTAGGTCATGGGGTAAGTGTATATTTAGCTTTAGAAGGTACTACCAAGCAGTCTACCATCTGGGATGGGAGTTGCTCCACATCCTCACCAACAGTTGGTATTGTCGGTCATTGTCATTTTGAGCATTCTGGTGGATGTGTACTTGTATCTCACTGTAGTTTTAGTGGGCACTTACCTGACCAAGAACGATGTTGAGCACCCTTTCATGTTCTTATTGTTGGTCATTTGGAGTGCTTCTTTTATGGGGTGCCTGTTCCAGATCTTATGGCCATTATTAAATTGGGTTGTGGGCTTTATTGATTTGTAGAAATTCTTTGCATTCTGGATAGAGTCCTTTGTCAGATAAATGTATTATAAATATCTCCTGCTAGTCTATGGCTAACCTTTTCACCCTCTAATGATTCCTTTTGTAATTGGAACTCAATTCTAATGAAGTCCAATTTGTCAATCTTCTATAGTTAGTGATTTTTGTGTCTTATTTAAGAAATATTTGCCTATTCCAATGTCCAGAAGGTATCTTATGTTTCCTTTTAGAAGTTTTATCATTGTATTTTTCACAGTTAGATTTCCAAGCCATTGGAATTGACTGTCATTTGTGGGGTAAGGTAGGGACCCATGGGTCAGTTTTCATTTTTTTCCCATATGAATATCCAGTTGATCCAACCTCTAAATTTCAATGCCACCCTGTTGAAAATCAGGCATGGATATATTTCTGGGTTCTCCATTCTGTTCTATTGGTCTATCTGTCCATCTTATTCCAATACCACACTGTTTTATAATTCTTGATATCTGGTAGTACAAGTCCTCTGACTTTGTTCTTCTTTAAGATTGTTTAGGTTTTCTTAGCCTTTTGCATTGCTATAGAAATTCTGGAATCAAATTGTCACACCCACCTCCTCAACACACAAATCTTGCTGAGACTTTAATTGTGATTACACTGAATATATAGATCATCTTGTGGAAGGATTAACATACTAACAATATTGAGTCTTCCAATCAGTGAACATTTAGTTCTTCTTTAATTATCTCAGCAGTGTTTTGTACTTTTGAGTGTACAGGTATGCAAGACCTCTTTTGTTAGATTTTTTTCCCCTAGGTATTTGATTTTTTTAAAATTCTGTAGTAGATGGTACTGTTCTTGACTTTCATTTTCTAATTGTTTCCAGTATTTAGAAATACAATTGACTTGGTATTTGGTGACCTTGCTAACTATATGTACTACTTCTAGTAGTTTGTAGACTCATTAATATTTTCTACATACACAATCATCTGCAAATCTTTTCAATTTTTATACTTTTATTTCCTTTTCATGGTGATAGTGGATATCATTGTTTTGTTCTCAAACTTGGGGAAAGTGCTCAGTATTTCGTCATGAAATATTATGTTACTATAGCCTTTAAAGGAAGTTCCCTTTTATTCCTGATTTACTGAGAGCTTCAAAAATGAAGTTATTACATTTATAATATGCTTTCTTCTGTCTCTATTGAGATGTTACTGTTTTTTCTCCTTTAGTCTGTTAATGGTGGATTATGTTGATCAATTTTTCAAATATTCAACCAACTTTGCAGTCTAGGAAAAACCCACGTGGTCATGATGTATTATTTTTATATACCACCGGTTTCAATTTACAAATATTTTGTTTAAGATTTTGTGTCTATGTTTATGAGAGAAATTGACCTATACTATTTCTTGTCCTTGTCAGATTTTGGTATTACTTTTATGGCCTCATAAAAAGAGCTGGAAAGAGTATTTTATTTTCCTATTCACTGAGGGGTTTCTATAAGATTGGTATTTTTTCCCCTTAAGTGTTTGGAAAGATTCACTAATGATGCCAAACAGACTTGAAGTTTTTGTTGTGGGAAATGTTTTAATTATGGAGTGTTTTTTTTTTTTAAAACAGATATTGGCCTATTGATACTTTCTATTTCTTTTATATCAGTTTTGTTAAGCTGTGTTTTTCAAAGAAAGTGTCCATTTCATTTAAGCTGTTAAATTATTGGCATGTAGTTGTTTGTAATATTATTATCATTAATTTCTGTGCAATCTGTAGTGATGTTCCATTTCAAGTGTACAATTCCATGACATTAAGTACATTCACAATGTTGTACAGCCATCACTACTATTTCCAAAAACTTTTTCATCATCCCAAACAGAAACTCTGTATCCATTAAGCAATAACTCCTCATTCCTCCCTCCCACCAGCTCTTGGTAATCTCTAATCTGCTTTCTGCCTCTATGAATTTGCCTATTATAGATATTTCAAATAAGTAAGACCATACAGCGTTTGTCCTTTTGTGTCTGTCTTATTTCACTTACCATAATATTTTCGAGGTTCACCCATGTCACAGCATATATCAGAACTCCATTCCTTTTTATGGCTGAATAATATTCCATTGTATGAATATACTACGCTTTATCCATTCAGCTACTGAAGGACACTTGGGGTGTGTTCACCTTTTGGCACTTGTGAATAGTGCTGCAATGAACATTGGTGTGCAAGCATCTGTTTGAGTCCCTGCTTTCAAGTCTTGTGGTTGTACACCTAGGAACAGAACTGCTGGGTCATATGGTAATCCGAGGTAATTAACTTTTTGAGAAACCACGAAACTGTTTTCCACAGCAGCTGCACCATTTTGCATTCCCACCAGCAATGCACATGGGTCCAGATTCCTCCACATCCTCACCTCATTAAAAAACAAACAATCAAACCAGTTGCCCTTGGTTGATTCTGACTCAGAGCGACCCTACAGGACAGAGTAGAACTGCCCTACAGGGTTTCCAAGGCTGTAATCTTTACAGATGCAGACTGCATGAAGTAGCTGGTGGGTTTGAATCACTGACGTTTCAGTTAGCAGCAGAGCACTTAACCCCTGTGCCGTTGTACCACCAGGGCTCCTTACATCCTTGCCAGAGCTTGTTCTTCTCCATTTTTATGATAACAGCCATTCTAGTGGGTGTGAAATGGTATCTCACTGTGGTTTGGATTTGCAATTTCCGGATGGCTTGATGATGCTGAGCCCCTATCCCATGTACTTATTGGGCATTCATGTATCTTTTTATTTTTTGTAAAGCATCTGTTTAAGTATTTGCCGATTTTCTTATTGGATTGTTTGTCTTTTTATCACTGAATTCTTGGAGCTCATTCTTAATGTACTCTGGATATATGCCCTTTGTCAGATGTCTGTATTGTGGATATTTCCCCCAGTCTGTGGTTTGCATTTTTGTTTTCTTAACAGAACATTTTAACGAGCAAAACATTTTAATTTTGGTGAAGTCCGATTTACCAGTTTTTACTGCTGTGGTTAGTGCTTTCTGTCTAAGAAATGTTTGTCCAGCCCAGAATAGTGAAGATACTCTCCTGTGTTTTCTAGCAGGGGCTTTGTTTCAGCCTGTGAGCCATCTCATATTAACTTGTGTGCATGCTGCCAGGTCAGGGTTATGGCTCACCTTTTCCGTGTGGCTGTACAGTTGTTCCAGCACCATCCCCTTGGACTTGCTCTAGTGCTTTGGTGGAAATCATGTGGCCCCATATACGTGGGCTTCTGGAGGTCACCGCTGTGGAGGAGAAGCAGGTGTGAGGGCAGAAAGTTGGGTCTGGGCCTGGGTCTACAATACCTGGATTGCTTCTTGGGCGTCCTGGGAGACCGTGGATTCAGGAGCATTTGGAGGTCAGGGAAGGTCTGGGGGCATGCATGTATGAGACTGCTCAGGGAGTGGGGTGGCAGGCAAGCACAGAGGTCTGGGCCTCAGGCCCCACTTCCCTGTGCAGAGCTTGGGAAGCAGCTCTAGAAGCACCAGGATGGCAGGGAGGGGTGAAGCCAAGGGGAAAGAGGGGTGGCCAGCTGCGTATGCAGTGCTTCAGGAGGCCAGGATGGGGGCAGAGGATGGGTGGGAAGTGACCAACTGGCCTGAACATACTTATATTAGCCTGAGCTGTGTCTAGTGGAGGCCAAAAAAGTGAGTTCTAGAGACGGGACCAGGGAGATGAGCTGGGAGCTGTTGAGGTGTGTGGGTACAAAGAAGTGTTTATTTTTATTGTGGGGTGTGAGAGGAGGGGTCTGGGGGGAGGGGTGTGAGAGGAGGGATCTGCGGGGAGGGCGCAGTCGGCTGGGGTGATGGGACTGAATGTGGGCCCTGGGGTGGGCCGTGGAGACCCCTGAGGGCCTTGTGCTCTGAAGCAGGAGACAGCGCAGATGGCAGGTGTGTGGCTGGGCTGTGGGCAGGGACAAGGCAGAGGTGGAAGGGGTGAGGATGTTCACTAGACCTTGGTATCCCTGGTTTCCGGATGTCCCTCGGTTAGAGCGCTTTGATGCGCTTGCTTTTGCCTTGATGTTTGTTTCTCTTTTGCAGGATTAAAACGAGGAACTTCTCAAGACTTGGCCTCTTCCCCCAAATTAGACAGATACAAATTAGCAAAACAATTAACTGACAAAGCCATCAAGGTAAATGCTCTCTGGGACGCAACAGGGAGGGGGACTCTTTTAAAAATAGAAATTTGTGTTGGAATTTGGAGAGTCCAGTGGGTGCCCCAGGGTGGCGGTGTACCCGATGGTCACCCACTGTAGCCTCTGCCCTGCCCCTGGGCCTGCCGGCCACACTCACAGCCACCACGCCGAGACTGCACTAGCATTATTTTTTTATTTCAGTTGCACGTTTTGAAACAAGTAATACTTTCAAAATTCAAAAAGTACAGAGGCAGGAACTGTAAAAGGCCCCTTCCCCAGCCACCCGAGGTGATGTATCCACTGCGATGTGGGCGTACACCCTGAGTCCCCCTGCTTAAGAACACAATTAGTAACATGCTCTGCACCGGGCCTTGTACCTTGATTTTTCACTTACTGATCCTCGGTCGCTGTGAGTTGGAATTGACTCGATAGCAACAAGTTTACAGGGTTATATCCTGGAGATTGTTCCAAATTGTGAAGTTTGTTTATTTATTCTGGCAGGAAACACGTGGTTTCTGGATCAGGAACAGACTTTTAATGACTCACAGAGCATCTTGTGTGGGTTCCCCACACCCCTGTCCCCCCCGGGGGTGACTTGGTGGGGGCAGATGTCAGCTGTGTGTGCAGGGGGATTTGCACCAGAGGAGAGAAACCCCAGAATTACGTCTCTTGGAGCTTATACAGGGCAGCTGGTGCACCTACCCCTCTTCCCCTGGAGAGAGAGAGACCTGACCTTTTACCTTAGGATGTGAATAGATCCTTTCTAGGGCAAGGAGAAGAAGGCCCCCACTGGGAATATGTGTGCATAGTTCTGGGGAAAATAAGGACGGTGCTGTTATTTTTTGATAAGGAACCCTGGTGGTGCAATGGTTAAGTGCTTGCCTGCTAACTGAAAGGTTGTCAGTTTGAACCCACTATTGACTCCATGGGAGAAAAGACCTGACAATCTGCTGTTGTAAAGGTTATAGCGTAGGAAGCCCTATGGGGCAGTTTTACTGTCCTACAGAGTTGCTGTGGGTTGGAATCGACTTGACTGCGCATGACAGCAACAACAACAGTATTCTTTGAACAGGAGCCAATGTCTCCTCATCTACCACCCTAAGGAGCTGAGGAGCGAATGGCCCTGAGAAGCTGGACTATGTGAAGAAGAACATGGTATCAGGATTGGTGGAAGACTCATTAACAACCTGCATTATGCATATGACACAACCTTGCTTGCTGAAAGTGAAGAGGACTTGAAGCACTTACTGATGAAGATCAAAGACCACAGCCTTCAGTATGGATTACACCTCAACGTAAAGAAAACAAAAATCCTTACAACTGGACCAATAAGCAACATCATGATAAATGGAGAAAAGATTGAAGTTGTCAAAGATTTCATTTTACTTGGCTCCACAATCAACACCCATGGAAGCAGTAGCCAAGAAATCGAAAGATGCATTGCACTGGGCAAATCTGCTGCAAAAGTCCTCTTTAAAGTGTTGAAAAGCAAAGATGTCACCTTGAAGACTAAGGTGCGCCTGATCCAAGCCATGGTATTTTCAATAGCATCACACGCATGCGAAAGCTGGATGATGAATAAAGAGGACCAAAGAAGAATTGATGTCTTTGAATTGTGGTGTTGGTGAAGAATAGTGAATATACCATGGACTGCCAAAAGAATGAACAAATCTATCTTGGAAGAAGTACAACCAGAATGCTCCTTAGAAGCAAGGATGGTGAGACTACACCTTATATACTTTTGGACATGTTGTCAGGAAGGATCAGTCCCTGAAGAAGGACATCATGCTTGGTTAAGTAGAGGGTCAGCAAAAAAGAGGAAGACCCTTGATGAGATGGATTGACACAGTGGCTGCAACAATGGGCTCAAGCATAACAACGATTGTGAGGATGGCGCAGGACTGGACAGTGTTTCCTTCTGTGGCACATAGAGTCGCTATGAGTCGAATCCAACTCGACAGCACCTAACAGCAATAGTCTTATTGACTCCCCTTTGTAGGTGACTTTTCATTTTTCCCAAGCTGCTTTCAGAATTCTTTGTCTTTGGTTTTGGCAAATTTGATTATCATATGTCTTGGTGACTTTCTTTTGGGATGTATCCTGTATGGAGTTTGTTGAGCTTCTTGGGTGGATATCTTCTCATCTTTCATGATATCAGGGAAGTTTTCTGCCAGGAAATCTTTAACAGTTCTTTCTGTATTTTCCACTGCCTCCTCCCTGTTCTGGAACTCTAATGCACAAGTTTTTCTCTTGATAGTATCCAACGTAACACTTTCTTCATTCTTTTTTCTGATTTTTCCTCAAACAAATTGATGTCAAGGAATTTGTCTTCAAATTTACTGATTCTGTCATCCATTGTTTCAATTCTGTTCCAATATCCTTCTATTGAATTGTTTATTTCTGAAATTTTATTGTTAATCTTCTATATTTCGAGTTTTTTTTGTATAGTTTCTAATTGTCTATTTTGTTGTTTTGTTATTGTTTTCATGAATTCTTCTATCATTTTGTCTTTGCTTGTTTTCCTTGATTTCTTTCTTGATCTCTTGGAGAGTCCTGTATATTAGTCTTTTGAATTCTTTATCAGGTGGTTCCATTGCCATTTGTTCCTTTGGAAGACCTTCTGGTTCTTTATTTGGGTCACTTGCTGGAGCCATCTTGTCCTGCTTCTTTATGTGATTTGATATTGTTTCTTGTCTCTGAGGCATCAAGAAGCTATTATATTTATTTATTGTATGTTTGTTTGCTGCATCCTGAATTTTTCTTTTATTTTGATAAATCCAAGTAGGCTGGGCATGTGTGCTACCCTTGTCACTAATCTGGCAGCATTGAAGCTGTCACCTCCTGTCTGTGTGTGGATGGGGTAGTGACTGGATGTGTGAGTGTTTGAGTTCCTGTTTACTGGTGTTTCAGGGATGCTAAAGATGCAGCTGATATTTCTGGTGGGGTGATGTATCTGGCTGGCTGGTCACCTGGCCATGGGTGCAGGGGGCATTCTCCCTTGTCACTGGGTTGGGTGTTGGTGTGTGCGCTTGGCCGACTGCAGGGTGGTAGGGGTGAGGGTGCCCTGATCATCGGTCACTGGGTAGGTGGTGTGGAAATTCTCACCAGTGGTCCCAGGCATGCAGGGATGCATGAGGTTTTCAGAGCGGGCACAAGCCTCCAGTTGCAGGGGAGTGATGCAGGGGTGAGGCAGAGGGGGATGTCACCTGTCCACAGGAGCATGATTGGAAGTCATGCCCCTGTTCACTAGGGTGCATCGCAGGGGAGGTTTTCCAACCAGTAGGGAATAGGAGGCACCACCAGTCCTTGGTTCCCTGGCTCAAGTGACTGGAGGTAGTGGGAAGCACCACCGGTCTTCAGGCCCCTGGCACAGGCAGCTGGAGGGAGTGAGAGGAACTGCTGGCCCTCAGGCCCCTGGCACTGGTGCCTGGAGGGAGTGGGAGGCACAACCGACTCTCAGACCCCCAGTGCAGGTGGCCGGAGGGAGTAGGAGGCACCGTTGGTCCTCAGGACCCTAGCATGAGTTTCTGAGCAAACGGTGGGTGCCTTCAGTCTGTGCGCTCCTAGCTTAGGCGGCAGGGTGGTGGTGGACGCTGCTGGACTGTGATCGCATGCCAGGAGGGGGGATGGATGAGAAGGGTGGGGGGCCCCACAGGCCTGCAGGCCTCTGGCACAGGGGGTTGGGGTTGGTGCGATGGGTGGGGTGCATGCACTTAACTGTCTTTCACAGGGCAGGAAGCACCCCTGCTGGGCTCTGGATGTGAATGCAGAGTCACTCCTGCTTGGCTGCACCAGTTGATGAGGGTTTCAGTTGGAAACGTTGTTTGCTTTGTCTCAATATGGCTGTGCTGCGCAGGTTTGGCTAGCAGGGCGCCAGTGATCCGTACTTCTCCATGTCCACTGTTTTTATACTGTCTCTCCTTCCACTGGGTGCTCAGTCCAATTCTTCAGCCTTGTCTTTGGTGTTCAGGCTCTGAAGTCGTCATTTGCATTGGATTCACTTGTTTTCTTGGATCTTTGTTGTAAGAGGGATGTTATGAAGCATCTGACTACTCTGCCATCTTGGACCACCTCTGAAATCTGGTCTATTTAATATTAATATAGCCACTCCAGCTTTTTTTTTGACTAGTGTTAACATTGTATGTCTTTTTCTTTTAACTTATTTGTGTCTTTATACTTAATATGTGTTTCTTGTAGACAGCATATAATTGGGTCCTGCTTTTTTAAAAATTCTGTCTGACAATCTATGCCTTTTGATTGATTATTTTAGCCATTTACCTTTAATGTGATTTAATGTGATATGGTCTGGTTAAATCTGACATTTTGCTACTTGTTTTCTGTCTGTCCAATTTCGTCTTTGTTCTTTGTTTTCTCTTTTTTCTGTCTTGTTTTGGATTGATTGAGCATTTTTTATTTCTTTTTATCTCTTTTATTGGATTATGTAGTATGCTTCTTTTGTTTCTTTACTGGTTGTTTTAGGGTTTATGGTATACAACTTTATTACTGCCTACTTCAAATGTTATTATATCATTTCATGTATAGTATAACAACTTACAATAATATACATTTCTATTTTCCCTTTGGTGTTGTTAGCATTCATTTTGCTTCATTATTTTTGCTTTACACAGTCAATTATCATTTGCAAGATTAAAAAAAAAACTTTTCAAGTTACCCACTGTCTTATTCATCTAGTGGTGCTGTAACAGAAATACCACAAGTGGATAGCTTTAAAGAACAGAAGTTTATTCTCTCACAGTCTAGTAGGCTAGAAGTCCAAATTCAGGGTGTCAACTACAGGAGAAGGCTTTCTCTGTGAGCTCTGGAGGAAGGTTCTTGTCATCAATCTTTCCCTGGACTAGGAGTTTCTCCTCAAAGGAACCCCAGGTCCAAAGGATGAGCTCTGCTCCTGGTGCTGCTTTCTTGATAGTATGAGGTTCCCCTGTCTCTACTCACTTCTCTCTTTTATATCTCAGAAGAGATTGGCTTAAGACACAATCGAATCTTGTAGGTTGGGTTTACAAAATACTGCTAATCCCATCTCATCAACATCATAGAGACAGGATTTACAACGCATACAGAAATTTCATCAGATGACAAAATGGTGGAAAATCATACAATACTGAGAATCATGACCTAGCAAAGTTGACAGATATTTTGGGGGGACATAATTCAATCCATGATGCCCACATATTCGCAATGTCAAGTACTCTTCATTCCCTTGTATAGATAGATAGAGTTTTAAAAATCCAGTATGGCACACTTTGCCTTTAACTGGAGCATTTCAAATTAAACTAGCGCTAGTATAGCCAATGTCTTAGTTCATTCATTTGGTATGACCTGTCTGCTTGGTTGCTTGGTTTTCTTTTTCTCTCTTTTCATGCCTTCTTTTGGACTGATTATTTTTTTCTCATTCCATTTCTTTTTCTCTTATGAGTTAGATATCATACACTGTTTTATTCTTTTTGTGGTTCCCCTAGGAATTGTATTCTGCTGACTTATTATTAAAATTAATCAGTTTTCTAAAGTTAACCGATTTGACTAAAACTAAGCAGAGTGTTGGGGATGCCCAGGCAATCTTGCCAGAACCACGTCTCATCCACATCCCTGCTTGTCCACCTGCACAGCCAAGCAGTCTAAGGAGTCTCAGAGATGGCCTCTAACCTACCAAGTCTCTCTTGTGGGTGCCGGGACTTGAACTCACAGCTTCTAGCAGCAGGCACAGACTTTCTCTTGTACAGGCTCCTGGGTGTGGGTGTGCAGGTCCTATTGGGGCCTGTGTTAGTTAGCTATTGCTGCATAACAAGTTACCATAAATTTAGCAGCTTAAAGAAACACCCATTTATCATTTCAGTTTCTGTGGGCCCGAGTCTGAGCATGACTTAACTGGGTCCTCTGCTCAGGGCCTCACAATGCTGAAATCAAGGTGTTTCCTGGGCTGTGATCTCATCTGGAGGTTCAGCTAGGAAAGGATCCTCTTCCAAGCTCCCTCTGAATATTGGCAGAATTCATTTCTTTGTGGATGCAGAATTTGTGGCAGGTTGCTTCTTGAAAGCCAGCAACAGAGAGCGAGTCTCTGCTGCTTTGAGTCTGTATCATCAGGGAGGGCTTGGACCATCATTTAAAGGACTCACCTAATTAGGTCAGGCCCACTCAGGATTACCTGTCTTGATTAACTCAAGGTCCACTGATTAGTGACCTTAATTACATCTGAAAAATCTTACCACCTTTGTTCTATACTGCAATATAATCACAGGAGTGATATCCTACCACCTTTTCAATGTCCTGTTGGTTTAGAAGCAGGTAACAGGTTCCATCCGCAGTCAAGGCAAGGGGACAACATGATGGCATGACCCATTGGGTTCACTTAGAGTCTATCCACTGCAAGCATTGTTTCTTGCTCACACCAATTTCCATGGTAGCTGGGCAGCTTTCCAAGGCAGCTGTCCCCTAGACACCTGCTCCCACACACTTGGGAGACCCTGCTGCTGCTCCTCTGGCCCCCCTGGGCAGCTGATGACTCCCCAACTCCCTGTCCTCAAACCTCAGGCACCCACACACCCCTCCCCACTCACAAAGTATGAGGGACACTCACCCTTCACAGAGAAAGGCACCCCTCGGTGCCCATCACAATCCACAGACCCCCTGACTGCATGGCCCTGCCGTCTCTGCTCCCTCCTTCCGAATCCAGCCCTTGCCTGGAGTTCAGGATCAGCTCTGGAGGTGTCAGGAAGGGCCACATTCCTGCTTGCCTCATGGCCTCCTAGTCGTGTATGTGTGTGTGGTGAATGTGTGAATGTATGTGTGAATGTGTGTGCAAGTGTGTGTATGCATGTGACTTGTGTGAGCGTATACGTGTTTATATGTGTGAGTGTGTGTCTGAGTATGCGAATGAATGCATGAGTTGTGTGTGTGAATATATCCTTGTGAGCTTGTGTCTGCTTGAATGCATGTATGAGTTTTGTGTTTGACTACGGGTGTGTATGAGTGTTAGTTGTGTGAGTGTATATGTGTATGTGAATGTGTGAGTTGAGTGTATGTGAGCATATATGTTTGAATATGAGTATCTGCACATATTAATGTGAGTTGTGTGTGTGAATTTGAGTGTGTATGAGTGTGACTATGTACATGAGTTGTGTGTGAATGTGACTGTGAATGAGTGTGTGTGTGAACACCTCTGTGTACAAGACCCCATGAGGAAGCAGGAACACACAGAACAGAGTGACTGTCCTTCAGCGCCCCTCTCTTGCCGCATACCTGCATGCACACCTGCAGCCTCACACCTGCACGCACACCTGTGCCCACACACCTGCGTCCACACACCTCTGCCTGCACGCCTGCGCCCACACACCTGCACACACACCTGTGCCCACACACCTGCATCCATGTCCCTCAGGTGCTCCTGGAGTTTCTCCTTTAGCAGAACTGTGGTGTCTTCCTATTGGTGTATGGGGTCAATCTTATTCTGCTTTAAGAACTTCTGCCAAGAAATAATTAACCTGCTTTTCAATTCTTTAGTTTAAAATATGTTCTTATAATTTTAGGAAAAAAAGATTTTTTCTATCTATGGACACTACCCGGTGATCCGGGCGGCTCTGCGAAGGAAGGGCTGGGTGGAGAAGAAGTTCCACTTTGTACCCAAGGTCATTCCACGTGTGGAAGACGAAAGTGAAGGGGTGACTGGTAGAGTATTTAAGGCGTTTTGTCTCACTGTAAGATGTGTGGTGTGTGCTTTGTTGCAAAGACAAGAAGTAAGTGGACCCCGTCCGGGGCAGCAATGCTGGCCTCTCCTGGCATGCTTGGTTTCCTGGTTCCATGTCTGAGTCTTACTCGTCCCTTCCTTTGGGGGTGGAGCACCTTGGAGAGGCCCTTTTGACCCCTGGTGTTGGTCACATCTTGGTGTCCCTAATGTCCATGCCCAGGCCAGGTCTCATTCTGTGTCTGGACAATTTCTGCTGACCTCCAGACCCCTGACCACCCCTCCTCCATCAGACATCCCTCCTTCATAGAACGTTTCCCCCATAGAACAACCCTCTCCCAATGGGATGCGCCTCCATTAGACGCCCTGCCTCCATTGGGATTCCCCTCTCCTGATGGGACACCCGTCCTCCAGTGGGATGCCCCTCCTCCCCATCCCCTCACTGTCCATCATGCCTCACTGCAGGACGTCTGGGCCTCAGGGGAGGGAGAGAGCCACTCCAGGTTCTTGCCCCAGCGCGGTGTCAGCAGCGGACTTGCCTTGAGCCCGACTTGGATTGGTCAGGATGGGGCCAGGCTTACAGAGGGGTGCTGCTCTGGGAGGGGGTCTACCTGTGATCAGGCGCTCAGCCTTCACTGTCCCCGACCTCTCTCCCTGTGCTTCATTTGCAGATAGCAAAGGCACTGAACACAAACAGAACCCAGAAATGACTTTCAGGAAGACAGAGGACATCCATGACGTGATGGTAGGCCCCTGGTTTCACACTCGTGGGGCATGAGGGGTGGTGCCAGAGCTGCCCCAGGACCAGGCTGAAGCCAGGAGGGCGGGCGGGACCCTCTGTGGACATGGGGCTGGGTGCCTCCCCATCACACGTTCTTTCCTGACACCCCGACTAGTCTAAAGAACATGAACCGAGTTCTGGGTACTGATAGAGTTTTTCTTGCCAGTCTAGGCTGGTAAAACATGAAATGCCTTACTTCCTCTGGACCATCAAAAGGGACATCGTAGATCATCACAGTCTGAACTGCGACCAGATGTTGAACCACTACGGGAAGACAGCCTCATTCACCACCAAGGTGCGTGGGGCCCCGCACACCCGCCAAGAACCTTCCGGCCCCCCAGCTCTGCCGGGGCCAGAGGTCGACCGCTGAGTTCCCACTTGCTCCCGGGGAGGGCAGCAGGCGGGGCTGCTGTAAAGAACAGACAGCTGTTCTCTCACAGTCTGGAGGCTAGAAGTTCAAGTCAGATCTGGCCCAGCTGATTCTTCTGTGGCCTTTCTCCTAGTCTCTGGTGTCTGCCTGCAATCCTTGGTGTTCCTTTGCTGGTAGACAGGCCCTCACATGGGGCCTTGCCATCCACTGGGAGTGGTAGAGGGGCCTCCCTCGGGGTGCAGGGTCACATGTCGTCTTGGGGATGAAGTTTCTGCTCTTGTGTCCCAGGGGACCCACCTTGATGTGTGGGCAGGATGCCCCTCCCTGGTCACTGCCCCTGCAATGCAGGGGTCAGTCCACACCCTGCCACCCCCAGGCTTCTCCGCTAGTCAGGGTTACCCCATTGTGGGCCCCGGGCTGATGTGTGCAGCCACGCCCCGGGGGGCCCATAGAGGGAGGGCGGCCATTGGTCAGGGGTGGACGCCCTGCTGTGCTGGGGTGACCAGGTGTGGACAGGGCATGGTTTGGCCAGTTCTCAAGGCCAGACAGGTGGGGCCAGGGCCATGCCCAGACACGCTCCACCCAGCCAGACTCCTTTCTGCCCCTCACCCTGTACCCTGTTGGTGTCCTGCGTGGCCCCAAGGACCAGGGTGGGGGAGTGTGGCAAGGAGGAGTATGGTGTGGCTGGAGCTGGCCAGGGGCATGAGAGTGGGGTGAGTGCCCCCCAGCTGCCCGATGAGTGAGTGAGTGAGTATGGGGCTGGGGCAGTGCAGGAGGCCCTGCAGGCGGGAGGGGTGGGCTGGCTGAGCTACAGGAGAGTTGTGGGGAGGCGAGGGGGCAGCGCCTGGCTCCCGAAGCGCAGGGGCCTGTGGGTGGGAGGTGGCTCCGGAGGCCAGGCCTGGGCCTTGGTGGCCCTGGGGCTGGGAGAGTGGCTGTGGGGACTTACCTCCTGCTGGCCTGGTGGGCTCCTGCAGCCATGGCCACAGGCCAGCATTGATCAGCACTGCCCCACCCACCTGCGACCCCTAGGGCCCCACTGTGGCCCTCGTCCTGCGTCCTGGGCCTGAGTGGACAGGAGACCACAGGCGGGTCTTCCCAGAGGGGCTGCCCCTGGGCCTGGGGGGACTGGCCTGCATGGCTGGGGGCGAGGGGCTGGTCTGGGGGCCTGGAGTCCCCTCCAGGAGGCAGGCCCAGGGAGCACCCAGTCTGCCTGTGGATGGCCGGCCCTGGGTTTGTGCACGAGGTGGCCCTGACTCCCCTCTGTCTCCGGAGATCGGGCTGTGTGTGAGCATGCGGAGCCTGCCATGGTACGTCCAGGCCAACCCTGACTCCTTCTTCCCGCGCTGCTATGGCCTCTGCACAGACAGCGAGAAGCAGGAGTTCCTGGGTGAGTGGACGGCAGTGTAGGGCCTGCAGGGCCGTCTGGGCAGGGCTGGCCTCTTGAGGCCTCTTGGCCTGTGGCCTCTACTGAAGGCCCGCAGGCCGCCTCTGAATGGGGGTGTGACACGCAGGGGCACGCGGGAGGCCGGTGGGGGAGGGGGGAGGGAGGCCAGGAGCGGGGCGTCTCTGTCTTGCTCTGTTGACCTCAGGGATGGCCCACGGCCCAGTCTGGCATCCAGGGAAGGTGTGCATGGCAGAAGTCAGACCCCTGTCAGGTCCCTGGTGGGGATGGAAGGAAGGGTCCCTGGTTAGACCTAGTTAGACCTGGCCGGGAGGCCACAGGAGAGAAAAGGGGAAGGTCAGAGCAGGTGGGGCGCGTCCACTCCAGGGAGGGACCCCATGTCCCACGATCACCCGCCTGCACTATGGCCCTGACCCCACCCTGGGGCGCCTCAGGCAGCCAGCAGCTGCAGCCTCATAGACCAGGTCCCCGGAGAGCATGTTCCAGCAGAGAGGGAGCAGGAGAGAGACTCATGAGCAGAAGAGGGGGGCCACATGGAGGGGGTGCTGGGCGGGGGTGGGATGGGGGAGGGCCGTCAGAGTAGGGGCAGGGGGGCAGCAGCAGACGTGTGGGAGGGGCCCAAGGGGAGCAGGGGGAACTTGTTCTTAATGGAGGCAAGAAGCGGGCATGGGGTGAGCTCTGTGATTTAGGGGTGGCAGCAGCTCTGTTGCAGGGAGTGGATGTGCAGTGCAAGCTGAACAGCAGGAGGGAGGGGCTGCCTCCACTTTGATGGGGAAGGAGCCGGCTTGGGCGGGAGGATGGGGGGTCCGTGATCTCCACAGATGTCCGGAGGGGGCCGAGGGGGCAGCAGGCAGTGGGAGGCAGAGCCTGGAGGGGTGGCGCCAGAGGCACGAGGAGGTGTGCAGAGTGCTCCCAGCAGCCTTGCCGGCCTTCCCAGGATGCTGACCGGCTGTGTGCAGCCACCCTTCGGTCAGAGCCGGCCCAGCCCTGCCTTCCGCCTTCTGCACTTGGTAGGCACGGGCAGGAGGTCCTGGGGAGGGCAGGCTTCCTGAGATGGGAGCCATTGGTCCTGCTGCTGTCAGCCAGGGAGATTCTAGAAAGATCCCTCTGATGCAGTGTGAATGACAGACTGATGGGGGGGGCGGTCTGAGGACAGAGGACCAGGGAGAGGACCTCGTGGCTGTGGAGAGAGTGGCCCTGGGAGGGAGGAGAGGCCGAGGGGCAGGAACCAGGCAGAGAGTTCGAGGGTGGGGGGGGGCGTCCCAGGGCTGGGCCTGTTGATGGGGGCTGGAGGCCTGTTGGTGTGACCAGTCGAGGCAGACCTTTTTCAGCCCTCAGCCCCATCCGTCATAGTGAGAGGGAGGAAGACAGGGTTTGGGGGAGGCGGCGGGCCTGGGGGAGCCACTGGGCTGCGGGGCAGGAGCGAGGCCCACCTGCCCCTGGAGCCACCATGACCTGGCAGGCAGAGGGGGCGAGGCCTGGTGTCCTTCCAGATGACTTCCGGCGCACTGTGGCTTCCAGCATCCTCAAGTGGGTTGTCAGCCACCAGAGCTGCAAGGCCAAGCTCAAGAACAGGCGGGAGGAGGCCGGCGACAGTTACCCCAGCCACAGGAAAGGTGCGTTGGGGCAGGGCAGGCATGGGTGGGGCCTCCCCCTGGGCATCTCCCCTCTCAATCCCAATGCCAGCAGGGTTGGTTCCTCCTGGAGGCTCTGACGGAGAATCCATTCCATGCCTTTCTCCCAGCTTCTTACAGCTACCAGTGATCTTGGTTGTTTGCCGGTACAATCTACAGTCTACAGTCCCCAGGCTTTGACTTGTAGCTGCGTCACTCCAGTCTCTCCTCCATTTTCTCTCTGTTTTGTCGTATTCACCCCTATCGTGTGCATCTGCTTCAGTCTGGATACTTTCTAGTGACCTGTTTCAGATTCACTGATCTTGCCCATGCTTTACCCAGGTCTCTGTTAAGCCTATCGAATGAATTTCTCATGTCATATTTTCCTTTGGGAGCCCTGGTGGCGCAGCGGTTAAAGTACCTGTCTGCTCACAGAAAGGTCAGCAGCTTGAACCCACCAGCTGCTCTGTGGCAGAAAGATGTGGCAGTCTGCTTCTGTAAAGATTACAGCCTTGGAAACCCTATGGGGCAGTTCTGCTCTGTCCTCTAGGATTCCTATGAGTCTGAATTGACTCGATGGCAGTGGGTGTGGGTAGTACTTTCATTAGGTTGGTTTAAAAAACAGTCTCCATCTATCTGATCAAATTCTTCATCTCTTCAAGCATGTTGTATTTTTCCACTAGACCCCTTAGCCTTTTTATCTTAGTTATTTTAAAATACCTGTCTGATAATTCCACAGATCAGGGCCATTTATAGGTCTTTCCCTTTTGACTGCATCCTTTCTTGACTCCCATTTTGTTACTTTTTCATGTGTCTTATAATTTTCGATTATATGCTAGACAGTTTGCATTAAAGAACAGCAGAGACTGAAGTGAATGATATTTATCTCTGTCTGGCCTCCAGAGTGGGGATGAGCCCATCTCATTTGTAGTTAAGCTGAGTGTGGGCTTTGTGGGTGCTTTAGTTTTATTCCATTCACCACTGGCTTCCAAATGTTTTGATGATGGGATCAGGGCTTTCCCTTGAGCAGGACTTGGGATCTGAGCACTGGTAAGATTTTGGAGATCTGCCTGTGCTTCACAGCAGAGCAGACAGTTTCAGAACTGCGGGATAACTCTCTGCCTTACAGCCTGGCTTCCAGGTTTTGGGGTTGCTGGGGGTGTCTCTTTGCTCTCATCTGTGCCCCCTGCTTTCTGTACCTGGCAGATCTCTTTCAGGCCCATTGCCCTTTCCCACTTGAACTTGATGAAGGCCTAGGATGCCTGGGAGGGATTTTTCTCATCCCTCCTGCCCTATCCCAGTCTTTCCTAGCTGAAATCCTGGAATACCTGGAGACTTTCCTTCTGCTCTCCTACCCTCTTCTGGGGATGGCAGACTTGCACTCTAGGGAGGCATGTCTGGGGGGCCCTCTCTCAGCCCTCTTTCCCTGCCCCAACTTTTGGTGTGTGATCCCTGATACTTGGAGAAGAGCCATGGGAGTTCCTTGGGGTTAGAATCTGTCATGCCAGCACACGTGTCCACTCATGATCGCCAGAGTCCTACTGGCCTCATATCTGTACCTCTGGCGGATTCCTCTTTCTCCTACTGTTCCACCAGGGATGACAGCATTCCTGGGTCTCCTCTGTCTATGAAGATCTCATCATTTTTTTTTTTTTTTTTTTACTTTATTTAGATTTCTTTGTCTCCTCAGTTCTTTTATGCGTCTTAAAAACCATGATTTTGTAGCGTATCCAGCGTGTTTTGATTGTTAGGGTGGGAGCCATGGTTTTTTAGGGTTTTCTACATCAAAACAGAAACAGAGCTGTCCCATAGGGGTTTTAATTTGCACTTTCCTGTAATTATTAAGGTTGGGCATTTTATTGGCCATTCATATTACTTCTGTAAGATGTCCATGTCTTTTGCCCAGTATTCTGTTAGACTGTTTGTCTTTATCTGATTAATTCTCGGGAATTCTTTATATAGTCTGGATAGAAATCCTTTGTCAATTATATGTGTAGTAAATATTTTACCCCAGGTTGTGACCGATCTTTTCATTTATGGTGTCTCTTGATGAATATAATTTCTTGAATTTAATAGAGTCAAATTTATCATTCTTTTCTGTTTGGGTTTGTGCTTTGAGAATCTTATTTAATAAATCTTCTTCTATCCCATAAAGATATCCTTTTATACTTCTATAAGTTTTAAAGTTTTCCTCTCTTGTTTGAATATCTGATTCATCAAGAATTGATCTTTGTGGATGAGGTAAGGTAAGGATCCAATAGTTTTCCTCCAAGTGGACAACCACTTACCCCAGCACCATTCATAGAATGACACAGCCTTTCACCTGGGATGCCATCTCTGTCCCTTGGAAAGTTTTCATATATTCAGAACTTGTTTCTGGGTTCTCTATTCTGCAATATCGCTCCATTTGTCCACCCCTTCACCACTACCCCATAGTCTTAACTGCTTTAATTCCAAGGTATCTTGATATATGACAGGAAACGTCCCCTCATCCTGTACTTCCTGTTCAAAATTGTCTTGTTTTCCTGGCCCTTGTTCTCAACTAGCCGAGTTCCATTAAGATCCTGTTGCAATTTTGATTGCAGTGGCATTGAATCTATAAATAATTTGAGGAGATATGACATCTTTACAATATTGAATTTCCTCACTCATAAACAAGCCATTACTTTGTGTTTATTTAAGACTCCTTTAATATCTGTCAACAGAATCTGAAAATGTTTTCCCATAAATGTCTTGCACATTATTTTCAAATTTTAACCCTAGATGCCTTTATATTTTGTTGTTATTAAAAATATCTTATGGTTAAGTTTTGTTGTAGGTATAAAGAAATGAAATTTCTTTTAAATAATATACACAGGATTTTTGCTGTTGTTGGGTGCCATTGGGTCGGTTCCAACTCATAGCGACCCTATGTACAACAGAACAAAGCCCTGCCCAATCCTGCGCCATCCTCACAATTGTTGCTATGTTTAAGTCCATTGTCGCAGCCACTGTGTCAATCCATCTCTTTGAGGGTCTTCCTCTTTTTCTCTCACCCTGTACTCACCAGTCATGATGTCCTTCTCCAGGGACTGGTCCCTCCTGATAACATGTCCAAAGTACATGAGACAAAGTCTCACCATGCTTGTTTCTAAGGATACTCTGGTCGTACTTCTTCCAAGACAGATTTGTTCATTTTTCTGGCAGTCCATAGTATGTTCATATTCTTTGCAAACACCATAATTCAAATGCATCAATTCTTCTTCAATCTTCCTTATTCATTGTCCAGCTTTTGCAAGCACATGAGGCAATTGAAAAATACCATGGCTTGAGTCAGGCACACCTTAGTCCTCAAAGTGACATCTTTCCTTTTTAACACTTTAAAGAGGTCTTTTGCAGCAGATTTGCCCCATGCATTACATCATTTGATTTCTTGACTGCTGCTTCCATGGGTGTTGATTGTGGCTCCCAGTAAAATGAAATCCTTTACAATTTCAATATTTTCTCTGTTTATCATGATGTTGCTTATTGGTCCAGTTGTGAGGATTTTTGTTTTCTTTATGTTGAGGTGTAATCCATACTGAAGGCTGTAGTCCTTGATCTTTGATCTTCATCAGTGTTTCAAGTCCTCTTCACTTTCAGCAAGCAAGGTTGTGTCATCTGAGTAACTCAAGTTGTTAATGAGTCTTCCTCCTATCCTGATGCCGTGCTCTTCTTCATATAGTCCAGCTTCTGGCATTATTTGCCCAGCGTACAGACTGAATAAATATGGTAAAGGGATACAACCCTGACACACACCTTTCCTGACTTTAAACCATGCAGTATCCCCTATTCTGTTCAAACGACTGCCTCTTGGTCTATGTACAGGTTCCTCATGAGCACAATTAAGTATTCTGGAATTCCCATTCTTCACAATATTATCCATAATTTGTTATGATCCACAGAGTCAAATGCCTTTTCATAGTCAATAGAACACAGGTAAACATCTCTCTGGTATTCTCTGCTTTCAGTGACTATGACATCAGCAATGATATTCCTGGTTCCACATCCTCTTCTGAATCTGGCTTGAATTTCTGGCAGTTCCCTGTTGATGTACTGCTGCAACCATTTTTTAATTATCTTTAGCATGATTTTACATGCATGTGATATTAATGATATTGTTCAATAATTTCCACATTTTGTTGGATCGCTGTTTTTTTGGAGTGGGCACAAATGTGGATCTCTTCCAGTCTGTTAGCCAGGTAGCTGTCTTCCAAATTTCCTGGCATAGACCAGTGAGAAATTCTAGTGTTGCATCTGTTTGTTGCAACATCTTAATTGGTATTCCATCAATTCCTGGAGCCTTATTTTCCGCCGGTGCCTTCAGTGCAGCTTGGACTTCTTCCTTCACTACCATCAGTTCTTGATCACGTGCTACCTCCTGAAATGGATGAACATCAACCAATTCTTTTTGGTACCGTGACTCTGTGTATTCCTTCCATCTGCTTTTGATGCTTTTCCTGCATCATTCAATATTTTGCCCATAGAATTCTTCAATATTGTAACTCAAAGTTTGAATTTTTTCTTCAGTTCCTTCAGCTTGAGAAATGCTCAGCGTGTTCTCTTTTGATTTTCTAATTTCAGATCTTTTCACATTTCATTATAATACTTTACTATGTATTCTTGAGCCACCTTTGAAATCTTCTGTTTAGCTCTTTTACTTCATCATTTCCTCTGCTCACTTTAGCTATTGTACATTCGAGAGCAAGTTTCAGAGTCTCTTCTGACATCCATTTTGGTCTTTCTTTCTCGTCTTTTTAATGACCTTTTACTTTCTTCATGTATGATGTCCTTGATGTCATCCCACAACTCATATAGTCTTCAGTCATTAGTGTTCAGTGCATCAAATCTATTCTTGGAATGGTCTCTAAATTCAGGAGGGATATACTCAAGATGGTATTTTAGCTCCCTTGGACTTATTTTAATTTTCTTCAACTCCAACTTGAACTTGCATAGGAACAATTGAAGGTCTGTTCCGCAGTCGG